TTGGAAATTTCTGTTAGTAGTTCGCTTTTTTATTTGGCGAAGCACGCACAAGCGTTGACACGATGCAAACGTGCGCGCAGTTGCCTTAATTCATCGTATCAGTGCATGACACCGCGTAGCTGCAATCGGCTCAATGAGAATGTGTCTCAATTCAGGCCCAATTCAAAACATGATTCAGCAACATGATTCAGCAACTTTTATTTGAAATCGAGATCCGCAGGCCCGGTTCTGTGTTTTTTTTGTCCCGTTCTGTTCACAAACTCATCTATGTTTCAAGTCACAGACCATACAGGGATGAAACTGGCCTATGGGGAAAAAATCTGAAAATAGGCCAGCCAAAATTCTGTGTCCGAAATCTGGGCTGCGCCGCAAGTACACATACGTACTATATGTACAATAAACTTCGTGTTCAATTTCTGGACATCGCCTCCTTTTTTTCTTTTACATGTACATGTAGATCCAAATGAAATTTTACGATGTGAAAAATGTTCAGTGTTTCCATAAGATTAAAAAGCCCGAATTAGGGTTGGAGTTTCTGACTCGTAATTAAAGAAATTCACATCTTACTTGAGACACGGAGAAAGTCAAGGAAAAAGTCCAAGACAACAAGTCCACTAACGCATGGTAGGTGGAACTGGAAAAAGTTTGGCATTAGGCCTGCCGTCTTTTTCGTACAACAACTGCCGGTGAAATTTGTCTTCTATGCTCTCCTCGCCTTCCTCAAGATTTTGCATGGAAGAGATCGTCAGACTAAAACCACCACGTTGCAATCATTCAGTATCATTTGTACAACACTGAATAAAGTAGATCTGCCAAAGTCCAAAATGCTCCTTATGTGCGATTACCCCAATAGTTTGATTGCAGCTTTTGAGGGGGCCATTCAGTTGTGACTTTGTAACAAGATTCTTTTGTTTTGCTAACTTTTGAAAAAAAAATGATTTCTGAATGGAAAAGTTAGTTCTTTTTTTAAAGCAATTCAAACGAATTTGCTTGAAAATGATCATTATTGTATTGTATTTAACTTGAAATGATTTCTTTGTGCAGGAAGCTTCTCTATAATGCCCACCTCAATTTCCAAGTTCTGTGTTTGTCTCTCTTCCAGTGCATGATCTGAGATGACTAAGACGTCATCTTTGGAGACATCTAGTTGTTCCTTACATCGATCCAGCTCCTGTAGTAGACGGTCCTTCTCTGCCATCCAGACTCGCTCCTGAGATCGTCCTTCATACTTCAGCTCTAGATAGTCCTTAGTGCTGTCATACAACATCTGCTGTGTACGATGTAACCTATTAACAGAAGAATGTCCATGACAAGTGATGTATGATGGTTGAACAAGGTAGCTGAATAAAGGATACACATTCTACTTTTGTTTAAAGAACGGTAAGTGTCTTATTAGTCATTCATAAGATTTCATTTCATTTTGCGTCGGGGTGATGTAAATCAAATAAGGTTTTGCCCTTCACCGACATATAAACACTGTATACTCTCTGTGTTACCTCCCGAGTGAAAGTTGAAAAAAATCACTCCGGTCAAACCCATGACCCTCCTGCTTTCTAGTGCAGATGTCTTACCACTTGACCACCGAGCTAACGGGATCAGTTGGCTGGTTCGAATCTGATGTACATAGCAGCGGGTACTACATTAACTATTCATAAGATGGTAAGACATCTGCAATAGAAAGCAGGAGGTCGTGGGTTCGAGTCCCACCGGAGTGATTTTTTTCCAACTTTCACTCGGGAGGAAACACACTGAGAATACAGTGTTTATACATCGGTGATGGACAAAACCTAATTTGGTTTTATTAGTCAATTGACTCATGTAATTTCAGCAAGCACACACTGCATATGCCTCCATGTTATTTTGGCAAGATGTGTTGCCAATATACTAGTGTGGAAAGACTGTGGTTTCTAAAATAACTAAGATCAAAGTGCTTTACATTATTATTACCCCTGATCATTGGGCCAATGAAACATTGCAAATACAATCTCAGCTTCCTGTGGAATATGGATTTTTATTCACGAGGAAGTCATTTTAGTCATGTTCCCTGACAGTATTTTATAAACTATTGAATAGGATGGTGCCAGACTATTTTTGCATTCTAGCCTCACTTTCAATTTTTATTTTAAATGTGGCTTAAAAACATTAGGGTATGTTTAACAACAAATTTAAATTTTCATTAAAGCAGACTGGTATTAATTTGTAATTAATTTTATGTCACTGCTTTAATTTCTCTTTGCAAGTTCCAAATATGAAGATTTTACCTCGCTTTCAATTTAATATAGTCGACTCCTGAATAAAGCCCATACAGCTCGGTGTAGTCATTTCGACGCAAGGTAGCTAAAATCAATCACAATTGCGATCTCTGTTCTCACAGGTACCCATTTACTCCTGGGTGGGGCGAAGCAATGAGTGACAAAGTGTCTTGCCAAAGGGAACATGCACCATAACCCCAGGCTGGACTCGAACCCACAACCTGTAGAATTACCCACAGACAACGAGTTCAATGCTCCAGACCATGAGGCCAGGGCACTCCACATATTTAGAAATGTTTTGCCAATTCATGCAACAACACAAACACCAGGTAATATAATCTATTTGAAACCCCTGCCCGTTGTCCAAACTGCACACATGTGCATTTATCTTTATTGGTACCTTCAAGGATGTAACTGGGGTCCAAGTTGCTGGAGGGCCCTAAAGGGACCTCAGTTTCTAGTAGGAGGCAGTCTTTGAGCAGAGGGGTCCATGCCCCTCATCCTCCTCCCCTATCATTAGCTATGCCACTGGGCACCTTTGTCAAGTTCATTTAAGATTATAAGGAATCAATGAAGGGAGTTCCTACTTTTCATTGAGGGAGTGAATCTTGGAGCGATCTCTCTCAATCACAGTCTGCATCTCTTCCATCCTGACCCTACGATCCTCCAGCAAGGCTTCCGTCCGCTCTCTAGATAGCTCAGCTTGTTCCTTCATCTGAGATTGTAGAGCTTCAATCTGTAGCAACAGACTCTCTGGCTCTGCCTGCTGCTGGTCTGAATCAGGATGGACAGCTTTGGGCTGGGCGCTGTTGGACTGAAATGAGGATTGGAAAATATTGATGGATGGTAACAGGATCAACCTGCTGGTACAGACTCGGACAAAAGAAACCACCATTTTGGAGATGATCTGATCAATTATCGTGATTGAAGCAACTTTACTGGGATAACGTATGTAACTAATCTTGGAAAGTTCATGGTATGATGAGGCGGCTTTTTTGCCAAACTCACTTCTCAGGGGAGTAACTACAGGTAATTTCATCAGCTGATCAAGGAATTATCAACACACCTACCAAAAGCTGCAACAGATATATATATTTACTATTAATACTATGAAAGTAAGTAAAGTCTGTCATTAGCCAATACATCTCCGGTTTCAAAGGCATGAAACGACCGAGGATATTTTTTTATCCCCCCTGGATAGGATGCCAGTCCATTGCAGGTTACTTCCCAGCTAATATCGGTACCTATTTATACTCCTGGGTGGAGAGAGGCAAGTGGGGGTGAAGTGGCTTGCCCAAGGACACACATATAACCGGCAACTAGATTCGGACCCCTGACCCTCTGATCATGAGTCACAAACCTTAACCATATTAATGCTTAAAAAAAAATTAAAATCCCATAGACCTTATAAATAGTTAATGCGATGCCCGCTGCCATGTACCCCCTTATGAAAATTCCCCCCAGTCACCACAGTGTGGAACTTCTGTGTGAACACAGTGTGTTCACATAGTGTCCATACGGTGTATACACTGTATGGTCACACTGTGATCACACCGTGTTCTCTGTGTGTGACACTGTGAATTTGGAACAAATTCATAGTGTCATGACTGTGTGAACACAGTGTGTTCACATAGTGTACATATGGTGTATACCACTCAGTGGTCACACTGTGATCACACTGTGTTCTCTGTGTGCGACACTGTGAATTTGGAACAAATTCATAGTGTCATGACAGTGTGAACACAGAGTTTTCACAGTGTGCGCATATAGAGATCACAGTGTTCACAATGTGTGCACACTATGTGAACATATAGAGTTCATAGTGTTCACACTGTGTGCACACTATGTGAACATATAGAGATCACAGTGTCCACACTGTGTGACAATTTAGAGATCACAGTGCCTGCACAGTGTGACCATATAGTGATCACAGCGTCCGCACAGTGTGACCATATAGAGATCATAGTGTACACACAGTGTGACCATATAGTGATCACAGTGTCTGCACAGTGTGACCATATAGTGATCACAGTGTCCACACAGAGTGACCATATAGTGATCACAGTGTCCGCACAGTGTGACCATATAGAGATCACAGTGTCCACACAGTGACCATATAGTGATCACAGTGTCTGCACAGTGTGACCATATAGAGATCATAGTGTACACACAGTGTGACCATATAGTGATCACAGTGTCTGCACAGTGTGACCATATAGTGTTCACAGTGTCCACACAGTGTGACCATATAGTGATCACAGTGTCCACACAGTGTGACCATATAGTGATCACAGTGTCCGCACAGTGTGACCATATAGTAATCATAGTGTCCGCACAGGGTGACCATGTAGTGATCACAGTGTCCACACAGTGCGACCATATAGTGATCACAGTGTGCGCACAGTGTGACCATATAGTGATCACAGTGTCCACACAGTGTGACCATATAGTAATAATAGTGTCCGCACAGTGTGACCATATAGAGATCACAGTGTCCACACAGTGTGACCATAGAGTGATCACAGTGTGCGCACAGTGTGACCATATAGTGATCACAGTGTCCACACAGTGTGACCATATAGAGATCACAGTGTCCACACAGTGTGACCACATAGAGATCACAGTGTCCACACAGTGTGACCATATAGTGATCACAGTGTGCGCACAGTGTGACCATATAGTGATCACAGTGTCCGCACAGGGTGACCATAATAGAGATCACAATTAAATACAGTTCACAACAGAAAGTTTCCATTATGCATGTTTCAAAGAAATATTTATTGCGTAAAATTTTGAACTTGGTTTAAATACATGTATAAATAATTGTAACGAACCATAAGGTACAGTGAATACTAACAGCACACGATAGACTATAAACCACAGTTTGTTGTACCCAGCACAAAGACTCTGCAATAAAATGACTGAACCGTGCGAATATCCGAACTGTTTCTGGGTTTTTCCCCCAATTATTTTGGCTTTGTACAATAACTGACCTGAAAATCGCAAATGCAAAACCAACACCGACCCTACTGAAATGAACAACCTGACCCGACCCAAACTTGTTTTGGGGTTGCATTTGCAAAACATTAGTTTCGTTGCCATTAGTCATCGGTTTGGTGGCTGAGCGAGAATTAGGCACTCATGCATTAACAAACTTTGACTAAATCAAGATCAAGAAAATGTGTTCTCCCCTAAATAAAGCATTCACTGAACTAAAACTTTATGAGATTGATTTTCAGTTCCAATCTTTAGATTCGTAAGCACTTCTGTTGCTTCAAATGAAACATTTCAAACATGTAAAGGAAAATGGTCCATTCTACCTTAAAGACAGTAGTTGAGTTTCCATAACTTGAGAACTTTTCCCTGTTGAACACTTATGGAAAAATAACAGTCACCCTAGAAGAGAACATTGATCAATTATTCAGATACGTGTATTAAAATATTTGATACTGTTGTATTTTAAGTAATGACCGTACAACGGTAAGACTTAAGATGAAGGTGAATGGGTCCCAGGCATGTCCCTCCATCACGTCTCCTTTCTGGCGCAAACTTGGCAGGAGATGCAACAATCAGCAACCAGCAACATCCATCACCTTGCCATTCTGAAGCTTCTTGGATACTCGCTATAAAAGACAAATCAAACATACTTATAATTTATTTTGTATTAATTCAAAACAATCCCCAGTCGGGGGCCTGGAAGAAGGTCGTAAGGGCAAGAAATGGGTCAAAGGTCAAATTCAGATGTTTCGGATAATCAATAGAGCTTGGGAATATGTGTCATTTGATATATATATTGTCTTGAGGAGCTACGTCATTTGACGTAATTAACAGTAAACAAAGGATGGAAGGAGGATTTTTAATATTACTGCCCGGCAAAAGGATGTTTATGTAATACCTATGTACGCAAGGCCAATTTTGTTCCCGTCAAAAGGACGTAAGGATTTCACATGCAGCTGAAGCGCACGTTTAAGGAATGGGAAGTTCCCGGTAAAAAGACTTTAGCATTAACTTTGAAATGTCTTTACAAATAAGTAATATTTTGACCTAAAAATGTCCAAAATTATTCTAATTATCGACAAATGTCATCCTTCAAAATTTCAATTACAAGTGATTTTTAATCAAAAAATGGCAGCACAAAACTTTCAACTCGATTGTCTCCAAAAGTGCTTTTAGCGTGCCGTGCCTGGCCTGCTAATGTCCTTTTCCTTTTCACACGAAACATAGGGGCAGATCCTGTGTGTGTCACAGCAACAATTTATTTTACAGGCGAACATTACACCAGTATATTTTTTTTGAGGGGGTTCAGAATTTACATTAAAACCAGAACAATCTGCAAAAATGTTTAAATCTGACAGACTTAAATACATGTACATGTATATGTACCTGTTTTAATTGAAAAGACATATTTGTCCCGTCACCTGCTGTCTTCAGGTTCCACTCTGACTCTGGCCATCATTGATGAACTGTCTTCAATCACTTGGTCATGAGCCCATTGGTCTTGGATGAGAAAAAAAAATCTCTTATTCTCAAGATCAAACATGACAAGAAGGATGTAAACATGGTGGTACAAGTTTAAACAAATCCACAACAGATAAAGATCAAGGCATCAGGAAAAAAAGATAAAGGCAGACTGTAAGCATGGGTAAACCAAACAAAACAAACGTAAACGCAAGTTGTTATAATATTATCAAAGTGGCTATCGTTACGACAGCTGTAACGCCATTTTCAAATACTTCATGTATTATTTGTAATCATTACTACTGTTACGGCCTTGTAAAAAACAATGCAAACGAATATCAGATTTACAGATGCCCAATATTCTTCAAGATCGGACGTTGAATGCTATTATGCAGAGAACCAGTCAGTTCTGTAACGATAGCACTTAGCAGTCATGCTAGTTGAAAGTCACGTCACAGCTGCCGTAACGATAGCCACAACGTAAATAATTATACTTCTACAGCAGTACTTAGAAATGTCCATAAGTTTGGGTCATGTTTGGATGTAGGGCTAGTCAGGATAGTGTCGAGGAAAAGTTAACATGTGCTTGCGTATAGCCCTGCCGCAACTGTTTTGCCACATACTGGACTCTAACATGTCTAAGCTTCCAGAATTAAAAAACAAGAACTTTAGTCTTTACTTACTATTAAACTTTAGGCACAATATAGTGCTACATGCAGTAGGCTACTTGCAGAAAAAATGACGAGAAATACATGTACATGTATGATGTACTATGTCCGCACTGTACCCAGACTCCACAGCATTTCAAATGACACGAACCCTTTCGAGGCACCCGTCTGTTGTGTATGGTGCATACATTTATAGCCTACTGCGTGCGTGATTCTGTGTGTGTACATGTACAGTACGTGTACATGTGTCAATATTTTGTCTATCGTTTAGCGGAGAAATCGAATGAAATTAATCAGAAAAATGCTGCGAATTAAATCCAGGTTTGTCTAAGACACATCATAACAATAACAACGAAGTTTCATGGCAAAATCTTACCTGATATTTCAGTAAAACGACGGCGATTGCACGTTGCTGGAACACACATGACACATGCAGCAGTACTGTCATGGCGGTTGGCGAAGCAAGGTCAACGGTCGTCAGGCCTGGCGCGCGATTGTAAATTCAAAGAGCGTACTCTGATTGGCCAGCGCGTTACAACCTAGGATGCTGTTGCAAATTACGCGTCATATGATTGGTTGGCGTCACTGTTTTGGCATGCATGCACACAAACTCGCGGCTTTTGATATATGTTTCTGTAAAAAGGCAACAAGTTATTATTTTTCCTGACACGATGTTTGCACTTCGAAATATAACATGTATGTATGTCGATACAACATTCCACAACTGACAAAAATTAACCGTGAGGGTAACGCAATTTCAAGATGCATAAAAAAAAGAATGTTTTTAAATAAATATAAACATTTTTCAAAAAAATATCGAAAGATTCTGGTGCGACAGCAGCAATTCTCAACATAGAATTTTGTTTCAATGTAATTTAAAGTCACGGCGAGTCCACCGTGTGTTCGCACAGTGGCGGTTTACAATGTGAAAATGTCACAGTGTTTTCACAGTGTTCTCAGTGGACCAGCACTGTGAAATTATCACGGTGAGTTCACAGTGTTATCACACAGTGACGGTTCACAGTCTGAACCTGTCACAGTGTGTTCACAGTGTGCTCTAAATGTGGACCAACACTGACAAAATCACAAAGAGTCCACAGTGTGTTCACACAGTGGCCGTTCACAGTGTGAACCTGTCACAGTGTGTGGACCAATTGTTCAAATCACACATCATTCACACAGTTTTCATAGTCTGGGAATGGTCACAATGTGAAATGGTCACCATGTGAACACAGTGTGATCTCAGTGTGTTTTCTGTGTGGACCAACTATGTTCAAATCACACACCATTCACACAGTTCTCATAGTCTGGAAATGGTCACAATGTGAAATGGTCACTGTGTGAACACAGTGTGATCTCAGTGTGTTTTCTATGTGGACCAATCACACATCATTCACACAGTTTTCATAGTCTGGGAGATGTCACAATGTGAAATGGTCACCGTGTGAACACAGTGTGATCTCGCTGTGTTTTCTGTGTGGTCAAATACTCCACGATTTCACAGTGTGTTCACAGAGTGGCAATTCACACTGTGGAATGACCACAGTGTGTTCACAGTGTGTTCTCGGTGTGAACAGACACTGTGGACAATCCACGGTGATTTCACAGTGTGTTCAAAGAGTGACAATTCACACTGTGGAATGACCACAGTGTGTTCACAGTGTGTTCTCGGTGTGAACAGACACTGTGGACAATCCACGGTGAATTCACAGTGTGTTCACAGAGTGGCAATTCACACTGTGGAATGACTGGGTGTGTTCACAGTGTGTTCTCGGTGTGAACAGACACTGTGGACAATCCACGGTGAATTCACAGTGTGTTCACAGAGTGGCAATTCACACTGTGGAATGACCACAGTGTGTTCACAGTGTGTTCTCGGTGTGAACAGACACTGTGGCCAATCCACGGTGATTTCACAGTGTGTTCACTGTGTGGCAATTCACAGTGTGCAATTTTCACTGTGTGTTCACAGTGTGGTTTCGGTGTGATCATAGTGTGCACACTATGACCACACAGATAACACACTGTGGTGACTAGGGGGAATTTTCATAAGGGCCAATACATCAGATTCGAGCCAGCCAACCGATCCCATTAGCTCAGTGGTCAAGTGGTAAAACATCTGCACTAGAAAGCAGGAGGTTGTGGGTTCGAGTCCCAACCGAGTGATTTTTTCCAACTTTTACTCAGGAGGTAACACACTGAGTATTCAGTGTTTATACATCAATGAAGGGCAAAACCTGATTTGACATACATTGTATTAATACTATGATCCACTAGTTTATCTGACCCACAAATACTAAAAATGGGCCTGATATGGTTGGTATGAGATCTGAGGAGTGTTGGCTTTGCAATGTTTTATCAACCACCCTTTGCCTCAACCATACCGGTATGTAATCTCTACCTACCTTTTGTGTTAGCAGTAACTCTGTGTTGTGCATTCCTCCGTGTTCTGTTGTTCTGTGGTCTGCTTGGCACTCTGGCTTTTAAACCCCAATATTTCACCCTCTGGAAAAAAAAAACCAGACAGGCAAGTAAGAAGAAAACATGAGACGTCTTGGAAATTACAGGTTACACCTTCATATACCTTTGAAATCTGATGGACAGTGTGTGCAGATATATAATTGTTTGCCAGAATAAAATGCAATGTTCAAAGTTGGGTCAAAAGTCTTCTAATGCCCGACTGTAATTCATTGTAATAAACCAGTTCTGTATTTCAATGACCTGAGGTCATTTGGGATAACATTGCTGACACGATGTTAGGCGATGTTACGCGCACGACCACTCTGGTGGTAATTTACACACAAGCGTCGCGCACCCGCATTCATGCGCCTTTGATCGTTCTACTATCCCGAATGACCGGTGACCCATATCGTTGTGCACATAAGCAGTTGAAATACCGAACTGGCTTATCCATGGCATTCCTTGAGTTGTTTGCTTGTTTGGAAAAGGATGAGACATTTAGGACAACTTGAAGAACTGTTGACACTTAAAATACCCAATACAAGGGAACTTGACTAGGTTTACTCTTAATAATGTTTAAATGGGGGCAGTTCCGCAGTGTCAGACGTACATTTTGGGCAATTCAACAGTGTATGTAATTGTAGTTATAATCACGGGGTAGATTTTAATTCTGATAAAACATATCAGTTAGTCACTAGTTACTTTGATGAGTCAAAGAAGAAATTATTCATCCAACTTTGTTGCTGTAGTAGAAATTGGCTCAAAACACCGGACGTACTCAGACAAATCAATTTTTTGTATTGTCATCAATTGATTTTCCATTTACAAGTAACAGCCAAACTGTTGAACTTGTTAGGGAATGTACAACATTTGCTTTTGCTGCAATGTTCAAAATAAGTGCATCTGGGGGATTAGTGTGCTATAAAAAATATTGTTAAAGGGCATGTACAACATTTGCTTTTGCTGCAATAATCAGAAATAAATGGATTTGGAGGATTAGTATGTTTTAGCAAATATTGTTAAAATGACTTGTTTCACGTTTTGGGCTTGTAGATGTTGGAAAAACCAAGAAAACCATTCATGTTCTTGTAGTCTGGTTCACAGACCCCATTTAAGATGAAACAGAGAATTTATAGACTTTGGGGGATTGTAAGATCAGAGAGGCAGTCTAGTAGGCTTGTACCCCTTCAAAGGTGTGTAATCAATTGCACAGAAAACACAGAATAACTAATTATGAAAAATTAGGAGTAGTTTTAAAAAAACAAAACAGTTTTCTCCATTGCTGGTCGGCCGACCAGCGTTGGAAAAATACCATTTTTTTTTTTTAAATGTCAGCACACCAGGAGCCACGATTTTACAGGATGCTTTAGGCTGTCATCCCCTAACAATCCACTAAGGTATTTAGTGATACTTTGTTCATATCGTTTTGTAATATTTGCCAATGTTGTATCTTCCCTTTAAACTGACCTATTTCACGTTTTGGGTTCGGAAATGCCAGAAAATCTAAGAAATCCAACCATGTTCTTGTGGTCTGGTGACATGAGACGTAAGATGAGACGTAGCACTTTGTACACTTTGAGGAAGTTAGGTCAGAGAATCAGTCTAGCAGGCTTGTACCCCTACACAGATGCGTAATTGATTGCAAAGAAAATGCGGAATGACTAAATATGAATTTTACAGGATGCTTTAGACTGTCATTCACTGACAGTCCAGTAATATATTTCGTCATAATTTGATCATTTCGTTTTTTGATGTTTGCAATGATGTTGTATCTTCCCTTTTAAATAAACTACATGTCAATAAAATACAGATAATATGCTTCAAATTGATATGTATATTTCTTTTGTGGCATTTTGGCCATTAAGAATTGTTGGCATTCAGGTTTATAATTCTGTAGAATTGCCCATGGATGGGCGAGGGAATTGATTAACAAATTTTGGCCAAGGACATTGACAAATATGAGTCTGCAGCCCCGTTGGTAGAGTTGCCAGTGCGGTGTTACACACTGACCTGCATGTGGATGTCTCTTTTGTGGGTGTTTCTGTGTGACAATTGCCCGCGTTGATGGTTCTTTGTGGAAGTATGTCACTTCAGGACCTGATGGGCTTGATAATGATAACAGATGCTGGATTCTGTCAAGTACAAATCAAATCATTGGAAAAGTTCAAGTTAGTACACCTTTGGTAAATCCAAACTAACAGGGTTTGTTTACTTCCATATCACATTATACGTGTAACTGATTGTACATGTGGGGTATTAAAGCAGCACCAACATTCATACATGTTCATGAATGCATCATCTCTAAACATACTTTTGCACTAGTGTGGAACAAATTGCAATTGCTTAGTCTAGACAAGGGTTGTGCAAAATATACCGAATATCCAAATATTTGATCATCCACCGAATATCCGAATAGCATTTTATCAAATTGAATTGTTTTTTTAATGTGAGCAATGACAAAAAACCGTCCATGATGTGATTTTATGAGTTTAAGTTGAGAGATTTGATTTGTTAAGTCAAACGCCACACTTTACGCAGATGGTTTGAGAGTTTTCATGAGGAATGTAAGCCCTAATGTGGATCTTCAATATCTGCCAAATGCCAGGTTGTCAGCTAGCTCAAAATCTATATCGATACATTCCAAATTATTTCAATGTCATTGGATGATTTTTTTGTTCAAATTCAAGTTCCAATATTCAAAGACTAAATTATTGGAAAAATGCACAACATTAATAGAGACCTGTTTTGTGAAGCACACCTAGAGAGAACTTGAAGCTCTACCCAGCCCTGCAAACAATGACCTGTACTCTGCCCGCAAGGTTGTCAGTCCGTCATTGCCAATCAAAGAATCCTCCCCAACAGTCACCATCCATCTGCACAACATACAGATTACAGGTACAATGTATATATACATGTACATGGATTCAATTCAGCCTCAGGACAGGCAGTAGCACTGCTATTGTGACAAGGTTTTTGCAGTCGCTTTGCCAACCAACCTCTTTGTCGACAACCACTTCAACGATTTGCTACTTCACCGAATAACCACTTCGCCTACTTGCCACTCCGTCGAATTACCACTTCGCTGAATGACCACTTCGCCGAATTGCACGCAAACGCACGTACTAACAAGTTTGTTATGGTGTAAATCAAGGATTTTCTAATGTTTCTCTTCCCTTTCCTTTGTTTATACTCTGAACATTTTTGCATCTGCTCTCATTGGTTTAGTACACGTTTTCTAATCAAACTCGTCTTCCATTTACAATTCACTGATGATGTTGCATGTGTGTGTCCTTGATTTACACCATAAAGAAATGCCTACAGACACGTACATGTATGTATGGAGCCATAAAAACGAGCTACATGAAAAACTTGGGGTTGTTTTACCCCTTCCTATCCAAACCCATATGAGATTCAACTTTTTTCATTCTATAGTCAACTTGAAACAGTACTGAAGGGGATGAAGATTTAAAAAGAAAAAAAAAAAGTTTCAGAATTAACTGTGTGCGACCAAAAACATGGTCACCGTGTACGGACAGTCAATGATTAATATATTTTATAAATTCCACTTCTGCACTTTCAAAGTGAATTGAGAGGACAATGTCACATAAACCTAGTAATAGAAGACACAACAAGTATGAAAACCACTTAATATTAAGTACCAGTCAGCTGTTATAATTACCATGAGTTTGTGCATGCGAGCATAATGTGTTAGCAAATACTTTCGGCGAAGTGGTAATTGGGCAAAGCAGTAATTTGGCTAAGTGGTAATTTGGCTGGTTTCGATCCAACTCGGACCCAAACCAAGTCGGACCCAAGCCAACTCGGACCCAGGCCAACTCGGACCCACTACCAACTCGGACCCATGCCAACTCAATCGGACCCACTACCAACTCGGATCCACAACCAACTCGGACCCACTACCAACTCAGACCCATGCATGACCAACTCGGACTTTTACAATTATTTGACAATTTCATAAAGTTTGTCCACTTATCATCTGTTAATACAGTGATGCTTTTAAGTATAAATTTTCATTGTAGTTGTCAGGTAAAATATCTGTATTGCAGCAGTTTGTCGTCGTAAAGCGCATTGAAATGCTTTTTTGAAATGCGCTTTAAAAGTGTAATTAATTATTTATTCTTATTATTTGTTTCCATTGAAACATATTGCGCTTTAACCAAAAGTAAAATTTAAAATTAAAGTTTAACCAATTATTCATTTTCATATTTGACATCGTTCACGCCATCTTGCTCAATTTAACAGCAATTCATTTAATTTTTAATTCAAACCACATAAATTCAAAACAGATCTTCATAGAAAAATAAAATTGGAAAGTATGACATTGAAACATAAACACTTTCAAACATGACACGATTAATTCAATAAATATAAGTAAACATTATAAGTCATTCAATAAAATAAATAAAGTATAAAACAAAGTCTATTCTAATTTCTACATGTACATTTGTATATGTATTTAACAAAAAAAACCACATAAACACCATTGCATACACTGCAAGAAAAACGAAGGTTCCATATTGAACAAAAAAGGTTTATCAAAAAAGTAAGTTACACGGATTCGTTAAAAAACCCACAAAACTCAAAGCCAGCATGTGA